CCATAACAACAACAGCCATTAGAAATGGAACATGAACTTGGAACTTTTTGTTTGTTTGTTTGTTTCTTGCTACTGCAGGGCCGGTTCCCGCAGGAACAACGGCCACCACAGCAGTCCTTACAGGCGGTCCGACGGCTAGAGCGGATCGCCCGAGCGCTCGACCAGGCATCGAAGATTGTCGAGCGCAAGCTGCAATACCCAGGCCGCGCGCTCCCAATCTGCGCGCTCCCGGCTCTCACAGCTTCTAGATGCCGCGACCACTCTGAGGAGTCGTTGATGGCTATTATACGCCTCCTGCAGCGCTGCTTTCACATCATCCTCAACCGGTGGTGGAACAGGTGCTCGTCTGGGCAGAGCCTGAAATCCAACCACGGACGGAACACAACCGGCGGCCGAGTAGGCGACAATCCCTAGACCGATGGCTCTGCTCCCTGTGGAGGTTGCCAGAAACCGCCCACGACCGCTGTATGAATCAACCACTGATGTAGGTCGGGTCGCGCTGCTGCGCTGCAACGCGGCATCGACAGCGTCCCGACGCACCGGAGCCGCTGCTACGCTCGCGCCAGCAGAGCGCAGCAGCGGCTCTGCTGGCCCTGGCGTGGCAACACCCGCAACTGCGACGGCAAAGCTTGCAGGGCCAGCTCCCACAGGAGTACGGGCCGCTGCGACTGGGACATCCTGGAATCGGATATCCCGGCCTCCAAAACCTGAGGCCGGCTGACGTTTGGCCTCAAAGTGGCTTAGGGCAATTCCCAGGGTAGTTGGTTTACCCGATGTGGCCTGCCACGGGATCGAGCAGGTGTAAATACCCTGCTTGTCCGGGCCGGCCATCACCGTGGCGGGCCAACTTGCCCCTCCCAGGCCGTCGCTGGTGTACCAACGGGCGTCCCGGCTAAGAGGGGTCTCACCCTGGTCCCCGATACGTATGAGAAGTGTGGTGGTCCACTCCCCCTGACGGACCTTGGCCTTGAAAACCCCACGGTCGTCAATGGGCCCTGACTTGGTCAGGGTCACATCTTCCCAAAAGGAAAGAGTGGCCTCTGACGCTTGCTGAGGGAGTAGTGGGGGGTCCTGGAGTGATGGAGGGGATGATGCCAACAGGAGGTCCTCGGCCTCCCCTATCTGCAAACCCTCCATGGCTGGAAGGTGGCCCCCGTGGGAGCCAGACTCCACAGCTGCTGGCATTTCAGTGCCTGCCTGAGGGCCAGCCCCCGTAGGAACTGACTCACCAGACGGCTGGTCCTGGGGGATGGTGAGGGGACTGAGCCCGCCTCGCCCACCTCCATAGGCTCATGTCTTCTTTTCGGTCATTATCTGTAAGACATAATAATTAAGAGTAGGTAAGTGAGGGTGCGCCTCCGTGGGTGACTGGGCCAGCAGGTGATTGATAAACGGCCGGGGAGGGGGAAGCCGCAGCTGGACCCCCACCAACCGTTACCCCACCCTGCTGAGCACAGGGATCCCTCCACAACAGGGAATTGGGTGCAAAATCTACATCCAGGCAGCGACAGTCTAGAGGGTCCTATACCGCCTGTTGCAGTTCGCGCAAAGTCCCAATATTCCCTGCAGTTTTCTTAAATTGGATAAGGCGCGAGATCATTTCCGGGGTAAATTCCTCCGAAAAATGACTACGCTTATTAGCATAATTTACCGTAAAGGTAAAAGCTAAAGTGTCATCGACGACTGGAGCCATAGAGTTCATCTGTAACAAATAGAAGGACGCCATTCAATAGGAACGCATGCAAGAAGCGCACCCGGCGAACAGGAAACCCACTGACGATCCCAAAGCCACAACCCAGATGGTAAAAGGGTACAGCTATCATCAACAAGGCCAGGGATACACTAACAGTTGGGACCCTACCCGCCAAGTCACAACACTAACTAAAAATACGATCCTAACTAGATAGGTACAAGCCTACACAAAACTAACACAACATGTTTATAATAATAAGACTACACACATGCGGAAGAGTATAGAACATACAAGATCATGGTGAAAAATAATGACACATGACACGGAAAAATATTTTATTCAAAGAATAACAGCATATACAAGACATATGATAATGTACAGGCATTCCTGCACTAACAAGAATTAGCGAAATATGGCGGCCGTGGTTAACGCTGGGAGCGCACTCTCCAGTCAAAACCTGGCAGCCACAGCATATACGAGACATATGATAATGTACAGGCATTCCTGCACTAACAAGAATTAGCGAAATATGGCGGCCGTGGTTAACGCTGGGAGCGCACTCTCCAGTCAAAACCTGGCAGCAACCATGCTAAAAATAACTGCTGAATCTCCCCAGTCATCAACCAATCAGAAAACAGTATCTAGCTACGTAATCCCCCGTATCGAGAAAAACAACAGACCTGGACACTGCCGAGCGAGAGCAGTGAGCCAGTGCGCTGCAATGATTGGCTAACGCTGGAGTGCCTAGGTCGTCACGTGACACGAGCACGAAGACGATCATTAGTCTAAAGTTGCGGTTACAGTGGGCAGGCCACTGCCAGCACCCCCACTTCCGATATCGTTCCAAACTACGTACTGTAAAATGAAAATACTGTATACGTAGCCAGGCCCTATGCCTACGATATTTTTTCAAAGAAATTTTCTAAAAATGTTACTGTAATTTGCCTGTCGAATTACATTACCCGGTAGTCTGAAATCACTATTTTGGGCCATAAAGACTCCCCCTGTATTTTTCAACCACCACACAAATTTGACGCAACCGTACATATAAGTATGTATGTTATAATGATATGTATGTGTATATATATACATATATATATATATACATTATAACATATATACATACTTTTATAAATACATATATACATATATATACCTGTCTCTTATACACATCTTAAACTTCAACACGTCTACTTTATTTCAATACATAACACAGAGTAAATCCCGCCTCAAGCGGTAATACAAATGTAGTGTGGCACGACGCACCTTGATACTACGCGCGCGCTACTATCCAGGGTATGGTTATTATGGTTACCAGTTCATGTAATAGTAAACAGTTTATGAATATCACAAATACAATCGTACACCTCTATAGGGACACCCCTATTAGGTAACGAGAGGAAAGATATCTGTCAACAACACTGCCATCCCCTATTAAGAGGACACAGTTACTAAGAGGGCGAGGACACTTTCCGAATGTGCCAAATGGTCAAATCAATACATATTTAACGCCTATATAATTACAGTACTCTTAAAATGATTGAAATTTATATTTTTACACCTTTTGAACAATAAACTTAATTATCAAACTAGAATGCTTTCCTTGTTAATAACTAGAATGGACATTAAAATATTAATAGCCCTATTCAGGGGACACCACTATTAAGGGTTGCACACTTTTTTACTTCCTATGCATGTAATGCAATAGGAACTATTGCAATCACTCTTGCTATTTCCTATGTTTTTTATTGTGTGTAGTGTGTGTAGTGTGTGTGTAGACATTTATGCAAATGCGCATGCGTCAAAGAAAAGTTTTCCGACATTTTGTTTTACATCGCGATGCGAAGATCGATGTGAAGTTTCTGAAGGGTTCAGTCAAGGCTCACGCTAACCGACCGAAATGTCGGCATGAATGAAACTATTTTGGTTTTACGGCAAAAAAATCATCTGCTGTAGGCATAGGTATTTTGAAGAAGACCTAAAATAAAACTAAAATGTTTTAATACTTGCTGAAATACATCGTTTCTTAAACAGAAAGGTCCACTGATTAATCTCAGATAAGAAAGTATAATACATACTCCAAGTATTGAAATACACGCCATCGTGTTGGGATTCAATATTTCGACATTAATTATGTCATCATCAGGAGAAATACACGCCATCGTGTTGGGATTCAATATTTCGACATTAATTATGTCAATCATCAGGAATCATTCCTGATGATGACATAATTAATGTCGAAATATTGAATCCCAACACGATGGCGTGTATTTCAATACTTGGAGTATGTATTTTACTTTCACATCGTTTCTTCGTTTAGATCTCCATTTTTCACTAAGTCCATGCGACGTTTTTTTTCCCTGTTGTATACGTATGAGTAGTCATATGAAGCTACTATATCCCCGACAGTTGGCTGTGCAGCAATGTACCCTTTGAATGCAAACTGAAAACAGGTGAAAATATAAAGGCAGCCGACTGTCGGGTACATAACGACTATCTAGCTTTCCACAAAAACGTGAGGCCTTACCTAGGCCTGACACAAAAGTCACGCTTCGCATGCCATTGACTGAAATTTTTAACAAAATTTAAAACAAGAAATTAAAATGGACATTGAGTAAAAAAATATTAAATATAATAAATTAAATATGTATCACTCAGGCATTAATGAACTTGACCTAAGCCTTGTAATTAATATTAATTAATAATAACAATAATATTAATAACAATAATATTAACAATAATAATAATAATAATTATAAATAACCATATATAATTTCGCCATTAATTAACTTAGCCTAAGCCTTGTAATCAAATACTATATTAGGCCTATAATCCAAACTCCCTGCCTTAACTTTTAGTTATTCCACGCGGACTCAGGTCAACTCGGCCCCAAGTCAACACGGCCCCATGTCAACCAACCCCAAGTCAACTTGGCCCCAATTTTATATTATTATTATTATTAGTTATTCTATATACCTTTGTATAATTTTTATTAATATAATTTTAATATTATTTTTATTAATGCAGTTTTAATTATTGTAAGTGCATGTAAATGAAACGAAATAACAAAGGCAACGATATAAAAACACTTTCATTTTGGCTTTGCATTCAAATCTCTTGGTAAATATTCAATAAATACCGTACACAGTAAATTGGGGCCGAGTTGACTCGAATTCGCCATGACAGGTTAAACATGGAGGAAAATTATATAATTTTTTTCCTCCATGGGTTAAACAATTATCCAAAACCGCGGCCAACTAAAAAATAAAAATGTTCACAGTTTGTAACTCAAATTCAAAATAGGGCCTAACACATTTTATTATTCGTGCAGCGAAATCAAATAATACATATGTCGTTTTAAACGACTCATTATATTAGAATGGCAATGTGTTTTTTTTCCAAAATCAGACAGCGAGCAGCAATCCTGTATCTCAGAAGTTTTGTAGACGTTTATCTTTGGTTGATGACCTTTTGACCTCCAGAATTGCGATTTTCGAGTCGAGTCAGTCGAGACAACCCGAGTGGAGTTTCATGGAAATGTTTCGTACGGGGAACAAAATCGCGCCCGGGGCATAGATCGTGTACGTTCTTGATAATCGTAATGAAAACTTTGGGTGATAGACGATTGGGCCAAACTGGTGTGGACGATCGGACCCAAGATATTTTCAAATAAATTG